GAGTTCTCAGACGTTGTGATTGGAATGTCCAAGTTGATTCACCCAGACTTGATGGACCGTATCGGAATCTTCTTTGAAATCCATGATGATGATGGAGACGGGTTTTTGAATAAGGAGGAAATGATCTCTTTCTCGGAGAGTTTGTTCTTCTTACTTCGAAAGGAGGATGGTGACAAGTATTTGACGTCCATGTCTTCATTGATGCAACGGTCATTGGAGATCATGAGTCGGTACGAGTCCCCCAAACCTGCTGAAGACGTTACGACTCCTGTAGCTGTATCATCTGGTGACAAGAAAAAGTCGAAGAACGGCAAATTATGCTCCCGTGGCTGGATTCCGTGAACTTATTCTCGGAGACCCCTTCTTTGTGGAATACTTTGACACTGGATTCAAGGCCACATTTGCATTACAAGAAATCAAGTACGTTGAGCAAAACCGCGCTGTTCGTCAAGAAATGATGGATTCTATTTGGTCAAGCGGAGTCTCGTGGGCTGGGAGAATGGGGGAAGTGGGAAGAAGAAGACGCGGCTTCTGCTGTTGCTCTGCTGCTGCAGCAGAGAAGAGGGAAGGAGCGTCGACGCCTGCACCCGGAGGAGACGGCGAATCCGACGACGATGAAGAGGAAGAACAGGGTTATGATCTTTTGGACGATACGGGAAAGCCGTTAGGAACTTTGTGATAGGCCCCCACAGCGTTAATATAATAAATTGTTTGCAGTTTATCATGATTTATTGGACTCAAAGCAAAAGAGAAAGTAGGAGATGAAGACGAACCTGGAGTGGAAAAGGTAAGTACATATTTATGTTTGGGGGTTTGGGGAGAGGAAAACAGTCCATCACATCTTTCTTCTTCGCCATGATGAGGAAAAAGCAAGCTTTCTCCTCTGCTGATAGATAACGCAGTATTGCACATCATATGGGTTTTGTGAGGCGGTGTCAGTTGGTTTTGGAAACATACCTGGACATGATCAACTGATAGCAAGCAACTTATAACCCGAATAGACCTGGGAGGGATGACCGTTTAGAAGGTGTTTGAAAATAAGGAAAAGGGAGAGGGGGAAGGAGGAAGGAGTCAGATGCACTTTTCTAAACACAGAGATTCAGGCAATGTAGATAAGGAATTTAAGTATTAAATCATCAATCGAGTTCCAGGATTGGGTGTTGTCGTTGAAGGAGAGAAAGTTGATTGCATACCTTCTTCCCGCAGCTGTTGAGGCTCACACATCTTTGTGATCATGGCGATTTGGACATACTACATTAATGATCGCCCCTTAGGGTCCAACTAGTCGTTGATCACAGAGCAAGGTACATATTGGAGGTTGACTGATGGTTTCAAAAAAGAAAAACAAGGGGGACTGAAAAATCAAACTGTCAACCTGCCCTCCAAAAAGACCCGATGGACGCACTCTTCACGTCAAAGTAACCAACGTTAAAATAGCTAGATAACCTAAATATAACGCTTTTAATTAGGGACGAAGACAACGTAGTCCTCAACACGAAAGTGATTGAATGCGACGACCAATTCTCAATGGCATCGGCTGCTGCTGCCCCAGACCATAAAGTTAGATACATTTGTGTTACTGCTGGAAAGAAGAAGGTCAAGATTCACAAAGTCAAGCAAGATAAGCCCGCCGTATTTAATATTGGAAAGTCTTGGCCCTGGACGAAGTCAAGTCCATCGAAACTTTAAAGGCACGGATACTGGCTTTCGTATTTACTTGTATTACACGTATTTACTTTGTTTGTGCAGGATAATGGTGTCTGTGTTAACCTGAATGGGCGGGCATACTATTGGATTCTTGACAGCCCTCACGACAAGATTGAACTTATGCATACTCTGGTCAGCTTGTATCAAAAGTATTTAAACAAAGTACCGCGTTTGATTGGAATCGATGAAGAGTTTCTGAAAGGTATGTCATCTTTTGACGGTTCGGCGAAACTAAGTTAGTTATCTCACTTCAGACCAAATGGAATTTCTTTGGCTGCGAAAGCAGCTATCGTGAAATCTGATCCGAAATCTAATCAGTCGAATGCCGCGACGGCTCAAGGAGGAGGAATGGCAGGATCAAACACAGCGAACGCAGCCCCGAACAAAGAGCAATCCGCACCTACGCAAATGTACAACAACGACTTAGATGCTTTCTTGGAGAAAGGTCAGTCCCATTTCGGACAAGAAGGGTCATTAAAAGCTGTTTTCCAGAATTTGATGCACTCCAACGCAATGAAACCACAGACTTTCAGACGGGATTTAATATGGATGAGCTATTGGGAGGATTTAATTGGCAAGTGAATGGTGACGCCGCAGACTTAGAACGTAAATTGGAGTCTGAGCTTCAAGCTTGGAGGCGGTAACTTTCATATCTTCCGCAGCAAGGATCATTGACATTATACCCATAGGCTAATGTTCACGCGATTATCGAGAGCGAAGATCAGGCTGAGCAAGTACTTTACCAAATCGATTCGACTCTGAACGAACTTAAAACAATCGACGAGTGGCTGTTGCATTATACAACTCTGTTAGATGTAAGCTCCAACTCATATTGTATTTAAGCTGACACCTTCTTATAGCGTATGGGTCAAGATGTTCATTCAGTCGAGGTCAAAAACAAAGTCCTGCAGGTTACATCGTTTAACCAGAAAGCTCTACTGCAAGAGATTGATAAAATCGTTGCAAGTATGAGGCTGGCAGAACCAGTCTCGGAACGTTTGAAGTATGAGTCTCTTGACGAAGTTGCGGGAATCAAAAACTGTGAACGAGTTCTCAAAATCCTAATGGATACTATCGCGAGAGTCAAATACGATGAAGAGATAGCAGATATTGCGATGGTGAAGGAACGACTTGGATTGTATCAGAGCTATGCTACTACGTTTAGTGTCCGATTGACAGAGTTTATCACCAAGTTACTCACCACATCAGTACGTCCATCAATCATTTGTTTAAAAACTAAATAGTGTTTTAGATCGAGACGCTGACGAAAGAAAACTCATCAAAAGCGAAACAAACGCTTAAAATTGTGGGTCTCGACATGATACAAATGAAACTGTGTCATTACCGTGCGCTGATGAAATGGCTCAAATCAGTCGATACACGCAAGCAATATGATTTGGAAATGGCGTACAGCTTTGATTTTGGGAAGTTCTACAAGAAGGAGATTCGAGAACATTTAGATGGTCTCAAATCCACGTTCTGCAAGCGCAAACCAAATGTAGACGAACAAGATTATAGTAAGCTTGTGTTTTAATAGCGTAGATACTTATGCCACTGTTCGATAGTATTTATAATCCCACAAGTTTCTGTTTCAAGTGCCGCCACAAATGCAATTTCGGCGATGAGCTCGAATATTGTTGAAAAAGGGAAAGGAGGCTGGAATATGCTGGGCGGAAATCGTAAAAAGAGTACTATGGCAACTGAAGATGATGTCGACGAAGGCCACAAAGGATCTCCGATTCTTGGACGGGCTGCAACCTTGAAATCAAAAGCAGACCGTACGGCTGACGACGACAAGATTTGGCCAGATGAGGTGAACCACTTGATTTTCGATGTTGAAATATATAATCTGAATGAAGTCTCTCTTGATGTAGGCCATGACTGCATTTTACAAGTCCTTTTGCCCGATTATTGTGTGCGAAATGAACTTTGTGATGGATTTCTTCAATCTTCGGAAAGATGACGTTGACCTCGACTTTTCGTATGAATGGCTTGAGAACCTCAATAATCCTCGTGATAAATTGAAGGAGCTCAAGGCACAGAACAAACTCAAGTGAGAGCCTGATTTTGTTTTGAAGTATACTGAGACAGTTTTACAGCGAACTTTATGATGCCATGTTTGATGTTCATGATGACATTTGCGCATTTCTGGATTGGACTCTGAAGCATGATCAAACGTTCACTATTGGGATGATGGTGTGCATTGAAGAAATGATCAACAGATATGTCAACTCAGCATATGTCAACTTGGTTCTTCAGATGGAGCTGTTGATGACAAAAATAGTTCTCAACTTTGACCGCTTTGTGGTATGTATTGCATCGTATACAACCGTGTACTTAAGCCAATATGTTAATCAGGACGAGCAAATCAAGGCTATCGAAGAAACCAAAGTAACTTTCCGCAAAAGAAATGGAATTTTGCCGTTCATTCGAACGTTTCCCAAATTCGTAGACCACATGGAAAAGTGTGCTGACACGAATCAAGGGCAAGCACGAGCTGCTGTTTCGAACGCTTATTCGCGCATCGTCAAGTGTATTTTTGATACATTGGAGGCTCTTGCAAAAGACCAGAATGATGGAAAGGAGTCTAAAGTGGACGACAAGGAAAGTTTAAATGTCCACATTCTCACTATTGGTAAGACTTGCTTATGTGAGATGTATCAACTAATTAGATTACAGAGAACATGCATCACTTTCATTCCGAAATTCGTGCCAGAAAGATTGTTGGCCTTGAACAACATGTTAAGGCATCAAAAACGCTTTATGATACGAACGTTGAAGCCTACATCAAGATCGTTATTCGTAAACCTCTTGGTAAACTCTTGGTAAGAATTTCACAGCAACCACCAACTTGTCTAAGTCAACTACCAGGAATTCTTTGAAAACGTTGAAAACCTCCTCAAGTCAAACGCGCCGGAAGAAGTCTCATTCCATCTGCACAAAGTAACTCTTCGCGATGTCTTAAAAAAGTACCCTGGGAAGGAAATCAAAAAGGGACTTGAACAGCTGTACAAACGCGTCGAAAAAAGCTTCACAGATGAGGATGGATCATTGTTGCAAGTTGTATGGCGAGGGATCCAAGAGGCATTTGCCAAAAGTCTCAAGAGATATGAAGAGCTGATTGCACTGTGTTATCCAGACACGGGGTTGCGTGTTGAATTTACGATGGATGATTTGCTGGGCTACTTTAGCGAGCTGGCGCAAAAGAATAACTGAGTTTTATTGCTGAATATAATTAAATTTATGTCTTGAAAATATAGAGTCCAGTATAACTGTGCCTTCATTGTCAATGTGCTCGGTTGGCTCAGTTGGTAGTAGCGTACGGCTGTTAACCGTAAGGTCACTGGTTCGACCCCAGTACCGAGCGCAGTTTTGCTAGGTTGTAGTTGGTGTGGTAGGTTAAAGGAGGTTGTGTTGGAGACAGGAATATGGGCATTTTGTAACTCAGAGAAGTGCCCAGCTATTACCTTGAATTCACATTCGAAATACTCTAATAATTCTTGCTATGCCATTATTGTTGTAAATACTGGGATTGAGGTGAATTTGAAACTCTTCAATAATGACAACCACCACGGACATAACACCTTCGAATCCACCGTTTCCCTTCCACAAAGGATCTGATGAAGGAGGCTTTGCACGCCCAACAGTTCTGAATCGCTGGCCAGTTATCGTAACAGATGTCATCAATGCCATTCTCAAGAGCGACCGAAGTCAGGACGAAGGCTCAAAGATCATTGCCGAACTCAGCAAACTCAAGTACGAAATGGCACGAGAGAAGCCATTGGCAAGGCTTCAAAGTGCATCGTGGAACAAGGCAATCGAAACCTACTTTCCCGACACGTCTTTCTTCACAACTGTAAGCTCTGATTCGAGTGTGACAATTCTAATGGACTCTGTTGCAGTCGTGGTTGTTTGCTGAGTGCTACTTGTATGCTCGTATTGATGAGGCAATCAATAGCCAACCTGCCTGGCGCGGGTTTGACCCTTTCTTGGAGAGTAAACAATCTGGATTCAAAGACCTAAGCGCCAAAGTCGCTGCCATCGCAGGTACCGTCTGGATTTGATTCAAACTCAATCAAGCTGATAAGAACACCCTTGACAGAAACCCAACACTCCCTTGTCAAGTTGGCTCCAACTGCTTCCACAGACGCATTCCGTGTCCATTTAAGAGATCTTTTATTGCTCAGTTTGTGGGGAAATGCCACGGATCTCTCAATGTTTGCTGGCTTATCTGAAGCCCAAATTCTGGAAATGAGGAAGGATGCTTCAGGGGAATCCAACATTATTTCAAACCACTTGGATGAAATCGTCGCGTATGTTGAGGACGCGTTTCCTAAAGCCGGAAACGGTCGTTTGGACTTTGTCTTGGACAACAGTGGTACGATTCATCTTGAAATATTGAACCACTGCTAACACCTTCTCAAAAATAAGGATTCGAACAATTCAGCGATTTGATTCTGGCTGATTATCTCCATCAATCGGGTCGTGTTTCGAAAACCTACTTTCACTGTAAAACTATCCCTTGGTTTGTCTCTGACACAATGCCCCAAGACTTTGACTGGCTCCTATCAGCCCTTGAAAACCCTCTCCCCTTTTTCTTTTCTCCCAATGCTTCCTCCAAAGTCGCTTTGGAATACCCAACAACTCTTCTCCAAGAACTCGCAACTCGCTGGCGCACCTACATTTCCACTGGTGCATGGGTAATTACAAGCGACGAAGTCTGGTGCACATTTTGGGCCCACCATCACCTCCCAACCGTTGCTCCTAGAGTTTTTAAGGACCTCGCAGAATCTCAACTTGTTATTTTCAAAGGAGACTTGAACTATCGCAAACTGATTTATGACTGCAAGTTCCCTGCAACCACGGCGTTTGCAGATGCGATTGGAGATGTTCGCGGGTTGCGTGCGGTGGTTTCGTTACGCACCAACAAGTCGGATCCGATTGTCGGGTTGGCTGAGGGAGTAGAGCAGCGACTGGAAGTTGAAGGTGTTACGGATTGGAGGTGGAGTGGTAAACTTGCGGTGGTGGAATTTTACAAAAGGGAAGGTTTTTAGGTAAAGGGTAAGTAAGGGACTACAGAATGGTATTTGACACTGTGCCAGAATATGATTGAATATACAATATAAGCAATCTGAAATCACAATACTGTCAATGTTTATTCCAAATCCACCTCCTATCATCCAAACGGATCAAATTCGTTCATTTTATTGCTCCTCTTCGAAGCTTGTGCTGACGATTGTTGCTGCCCACTGAATTGTTGCTGTCCAACCATTGGAGTCATGAATTTCTGTCCCATCATAACAGGTTGCTGAGTTCCCCATCCCGGTGGTGGAGCGGCACTAAACAAAGTAACGCCTCCTGATGGCTGCAGCGGTGTCGACGCGAACATTGGCGGCGGTGCGAGAGTGGGAATCACTGTTGATGGAGTTGAAGCTCCAAATACACCTCCATAACTACTGCTGTTTGACGTTGATGTTGTTGGAATTTTGACGGAAAAAGATTGCGTTCCTGTCGGTTGGATAGGAGACATGACGTTTGATGTTGTGGTTGAGAATTCCAATTTGCAAAAGACGCGTTAGACGTTGGCTGTAAAGGCTGCTGTATGGGAACTGCATTTGTCGATATCGAAGATTGGGAAGGTTGATTGAATGCTGCCCATTCATTGCTTTGTCGATGTTGCGATGTTGGTTGCGATGTTTGTGAGAAGGGCGCGAAATCCGCGAATCCATTCACGTCTGCACTCGAACTTAGTGCAGTTGCAGCAGCGGCAGCGGAAGGTCTAGTAGATCCCCTTACAAGGCTTATTTTTAAAGAAGTTAGACCGTAGAACCAAATTTCCAATGCAAGTCCCAAACCTGGCAAAATCCGGCGCTTGCGAAACGCCTTCAGATCTACTCGCCCCACTTCCACTACCACCAGCCCCACTAATTTTCAGCCCTGACACTTCCGGTGAAACCTCCATAACCCCTTTTCTCTCCTCCAAAAACTTAACCTGCGCCTCCTCAACCTTCTCCCCAATCTCCCGAATCACCTTCATAAACCGCCGAAACTGCTTCACATTCAAACACGGATCCACAGCCATCTTCCAACACTCGCCCAATACAACGCCGGCAACCACTTCCTTCTCTACGACTTTTGCAACTTCCTCCCATACAACCAGAAGCGCGACGAGACGCTTGCTTCGCGGATCGTGTTTCCTCTTAGGAGGGGGACAACTTTCTCAACGACGGTGAATTTGTCGAGGAGCTTGAGCATCGCGTGTAGGGTGATGAGACATGCAACGCGGATGGAGAGGGTTGTAGAGGTTTGGTAAATGTGTGCGAGTTTGGGAAAGAGCGATGATTTCACGGTGGAGAAGTCGAGGTTGGGTAAGAGGATTGGAATTGTTTTTATCGCTTGTTCTTGGATTTGTGGGTGTGGGGTTGTGAGGGATGTGTACAGGAGAGGCATTACATCTGTTGATTTAAAGTCAGTTGCTGTTGCTATAAAATATCATATTGAGGAGGGTACGGACCGCGTTTGAATACATCAGCAGACGTAATTTTTTCATGAAGATATCCATTCGGGAAAGGAGAAGGAGAAGCGCTTGTGGTGGTTCGTTGAGCTGGAAGATTGGCTTGAGGGACGGTAAGATTCCTGTTGTAAATTCTTGTTCTGAACTGTTTTCACTGATCCAGAAGAGACATGGAAGAATAAAGGGACTCTATAGAAACCAACTCAGCGAAAGATGTTGAATTTGATCCAAAATACCATCAATGGATCCTTCAATTCACCCAGTAAGGCAGGTAAAATCTTCCGGTTAACAGTTTTCATGCTGTATTGTGGCAATATTTGCACAAGTCCTTTAAAAAACTGGGCTTTTGTGACTTGATTCTTTTCGACGATTGTTTCCAAGAAAGTGATGGTCGAAACAAGAAGATTGTCAAAGTAAGGCGACGACTGGAAACTTGCAAGAGACAGTCTTTGTTGAGGGCTTTGTTTCAATAGACCGCGTACTAAATCTATGAATTCCCAGGTAAGATGTGGTGCAGTTTGAGACTTTGTCATTGCGTAAGTTTTCAATCCTCCTTCAACGCTTTCAAGATGTATGTCCGCATCGCTCTCGGATTTGTTATGCCCTTTCTTTTCGAATTCATCCTTGACTTCTCGACCAACGTTTTGTGTGCATTTTCCGATGTTTCCAGCTCCATCAGTTTCCCTTGCTTACTTCGTTCAACCAAAACTAACCTTCGAGTCCCTGAGGCAAATTGTTGCTGTTTGAGAATAACGAATCTAAGGCAGACATCATACGAGATTTATAGGAGTTGACGTTTCCGGCACAAGAGATTGGAGAGTGACCGTAATTGTACAGAGAATAAATCAGACAGCCAAGAGACCATAAATCCGATGCAGTAGAGCATGATGAATCCAGTACAGTTTCAGGAGCGAGAAAGTCGAGGGAGGGAGAGCAGAAGGGGGGATAATTTGAGAGATAGAAGGGAGAGGTAGCAGTTGGGGACGAAGTAGAGTGTTGAGCAAATGAAAAGAGGGCCAGCTTCCAATCGCCTTTCGCATTAATAAAGATTGCTTCAGGCGAGAGGGCAACATGAGTCCAACCATTCTTATGCAAGAACTCCAGGGCCTGGCACAACGACAGAATCCCCTCTGAATATCCACCTCATCCAGCTTGAATTCGTCCTTAAACTTTGCCGGGGAAGTGTGATCGAATCCATTCAAGTTTCCAAGGACATTTGCGAGATTTGCGACGAGTGGCTCTGCGGCAAACGAGAGCGAATTCGAATTTGAGGTTTCTGAAGCGGCGGCCTTGACTTCGAGGATGTTTGGATGTCTGAGGCGGGCGAGAGTGGAACAGTCTTTCTTGAGCACATCGGCGCTTTGTTTCGCATTCGTTGAAGAAGTGTCAAAGGTGAAGAGCGACACTGGTTGCGAGTTTGTGCGGGAAGTGGCAGAGAACACCTTCCACTGGAGCCCTGGTTTGCGTTTAGTCGTGGTTATTAGGGAGAACTAGGTTGCATTCACGCACCGGCTCCCCCACTGCCAATCTGCTTATGCACTTCGTAGCCACTGGTTAGCTGCTGCACTTGCGTGCCAAGCCATTGGAGCATCAGTCAAAAAAGGTCTCTTTAAACCTGATTGGTTGTTGTCAAACTTTGTGTGGGTCAACAGGAACAATGAAAGTGTGACTTCACAATGGCTGAAACTATCGCATCCAAAATAAGTCAGCATGATCGATGTTAATCCCAATCTTGCATCTACCATTCTCGCATTCCTCGGTGTCCTCACGTTCGTAATTCTAGTGGGACTCTCATGCTGTCTCTTTTACTACTGCTCAGATGGAAACTATTCTGCTGTATTCAAGGGACCCAA